TGAGGACATGTGATAATTGTCTTTCTGTGTCTGGGTTACCTCACTCACAATGTTTTCTAGCTCCATCCATCTTCCTGCAAAATTCAAGGTGTCATTATTTTTTTCTGCAGTGTAGTACTCCATTGTGCAAATGTACCACATTTTTCTTATTCATTCTTCGGTCGAGGGGCATTTAGATTGTTTCCAGGTTCTGGCTATGACAAACAAAGCTGCTGTGAAGATAGCTGAGCACATGTCCTTATGGCATGATTGAACATCATTTGGATATATACCCAAAAGTGGTATTATTGGGTCTTGAGGAAGGTTGTTTCCTAATTTTCTGAGAAATCGCCACACTGACATCCAAAGGGGTTGTACCAGCTTGCATTCCTACTAGCAATGAAGGAGTGTTCCCTTTTCCCCACAACCTCTCTAGCATAAGCTGTCATCAGTGTTTTTGATCTTGGCCATTCTTACAGGTATAAGATGGAATCTCAGAATTGTTTTGATTTGCATTTCTCTGATGACTAAGGATGTTGAACATTTCCTTAAATGTCTTTCAGCCATTTTAGATTCCTCTGTTGAGAGTCTCTGTTTAAGTCTGTACTCCATTTTTTATTGGATTATGTGTTCTTTTGGTGTCCAATTTCTTGAGTTCTTTGTATATTTTGGAGATCAGACCTCTGTCTGATGTGGGGTTAGTGAAGATCTTTTCCCATTCTATAGGCTGTTGTCTTGTTGACCGTGTCCTTTGCTTTACTGAAGCTTTTCATTTTCAGGAGGTCCCATTTATTGTTTCAGTATCTGTGCTGCTGGGGTTATATTTAGGAAGTGATTCTCTGTGCCAATGCGTTCAAGTGTATTTCCCACTTTTTCTTCTATGAGGTTCAATGTGACTTTATGTTGAGGTCTTTGATCCATTTGGATATGAATTTTGTGCATGGTGATAGACATGGGTCTATTTTAATTCTTCTACATGTTGATATTCAGTTATGCCAGCACCACTTGTTTAATATGCTTTCTCTTTTCATTTGATATTTTTTGCTTCTTTGTCAAAAATCAGGTGTTCAAAGATGTGTGTGGATTGATATTCGGGTCTTCTATTCTGTTCCATTGGTCTTCCTGTCTGTTTTTATGCCAGGCTGTTTTCAGCCACTGTTACAGCTACTGTAGCTCTGTAGAAGAATTTGAAGTCAGGGATTGTGATGCCTCCAGTTCTTTTATTGCACAGGATTGTTTTGGCTATTCTGGGTTTTTTGCTTTTTCACGTGAAGTTGAGTACCGTTCTTTCGAGGTCTGTGAAGAGTTTTGCTGAGATTTTGATGGGCGTTGCATTGAACCTGTAGATTGCTTTTGGTAAGACAGGGCTTGTCTCTTAAAGGGACAAGATAGATATATAATAAAAAAGACAGGAGGTTAGACACAACAGGTTAAAGGAATTATGGCAGCAGATTCTTAAGACTGCTTCCTGCTTATTTGTACACATTGTCTTGTGGGGGTAACCAGAGAAAGCTGGGTACTGGTTGCATCCCGAGGTAGCTGGTCTCTTTGCTCCTGTCCAGTGTTTGTGGTAAGGAAATGTATGGTGTCCCTTACACCTGTTTAAGGTATTGGCAGAACAAAGGACAAAGTTAAGTTTAGGGAAAAAAAAATTTAGGACCAGGGAATTGAGAATATAGGGAATATATCTGACCTGTTTAAGCTGGATCCTTCAATATGGCTCCCTGGAACTCACAAGAATTTTTGGGGGGTTGTGAAAACGTAAGTTTTAAACAGCAGCAGAATGATCGTGACACCCTAATTCCTTTAACCTGTTGTGCCTAACCTCAACTCTTCTTCTTATAAAAAAAGAGAGATGGGAATGTAATGGTCTGTCCTATCCCTTTAAGAGACAAGCCCCACCCATTCCCTCTCCCTACCCGCACCTCCCACTCCACCCCCTCTGCTTCCAGTCTGAGTTCCTTCCTTTCAGTCTCTCTCCCAAAGAGGTAGCTGCTGCTGTGGCTCCTCTCCTCTCCCCCACCCCTGCCCCCTGTTTCTCTTTTCTCTGTCTCTCTCTGCCTCTCTCTGCTCTTCTGCCTTTCCCCCCTTCTCCCTTCCCTTCCATGACCCACTAAATAAATACCCCTTTTCTCCACATGGTGTGTGCCTCTCTGTCTCTGTCACCCACCACAGCTGCAGGACTTTATGGGACTGGCTGCCCCACCGAGGTTTCTCATCCACTTCACGACTCCCTGCCTGGGACCACCTGCTTTCATGGCCCTCTGTGGTCTCAGGGAATGGTGCCATTTTATTTTTACCATAACATAACACCCCATCCAGTCTGATCTGGTCTCTAAAGGAAACACCTCCTCTCCTTTTTGATCAAACTGAGGAACAGAGGTTTACAAATAATGATTTTTTTTATATACTAAATTTACCTATAACCTTAGAGACTGAACTCAGGCAAAATGTAGCCAACCGATGATAAGCAAGTTAAAGCCAAGCTCTAAGAAAAGAAGTCTGTGAAACAATCTAGCTGTCTTATTTTTCGATGTGCAGCCTTGGTGGCCTGGAACTCACTATACAGTCCAAGGTTCCTCATCTCTTTTCTTATCTAGTGCTGAGATTAAGGCTGTGTGTGCCACCATGTCCACCTATTTTATTTTCAAATCACTTAAAAGGTGTTATTATTGTGTGTGCATGATGTGTGTATGTGCACGTGTACAAGTGCACACTTGAGTGCATATGTGTGTGTATGGTGTTTGAGTCAGAGGACAACTTAGTGCAATTGGTTCTCTCATTCCCCGCCCTCCCCCCGCCCAGTCGGGGTTTCTCTGTGTAGGCCTGTCTGTATGGGAACTCAGTTTGTGACCCAGCTGACCTCATCAGGGATCCAACTGCCTCTACCTCCCATGCGACACCACCTCCAGGCCTGTGGTTTCACCATTATGTGGGGTCTGAGGACTTAAACTAGGGCCATCAGGCTGGGAGAGCAAGGTCTTTTACCTGACAAGCAAGAGCAGCAAGTGCCAATTCCTGAGCCTTCTCTCCAGCTTCTAAGGTTTTCTGTCTAAGTCTTTCATACAGTGGTGTTGGGAAACTGTCATAGTTAGCTTCCGTTGCCAACTCACCACAAACTCAAGTCATCTGGGAAGAGGGAACCTGGACTGAGGAATTGTCTCCAGCAGATTAGCCTGTGAGCATATCTGTGGTGCATTGTCTTGTCTAACGGGATGGTCCAGACAACAGGGTGGTCCTGGGTTATATAAGAAAGCAGACTGAGCAAGCAGGAAGAACAAGCCAGTAAGCAGTACTCCTCCATGGCCTCTGCTTGAGTCTCTATCTCCAGGTTCCTGCCCTGACCTCCCTCCATGAAGGACTGTGACCTGGAAGCCTAATAAACTCTTTCTCCCCAAGTTGATTTTGGTGAAGAGAGGCTGAGGTAAGCTAGCACAGAGATATTCTGTCACATGGAGCTGTAGGTATTGTATACAAACTAGCACAGAGATATTCTGTCACATGGAGCTGTAGGTATTGTATACAGTTTGCATATAAATGTATTTGAAGACAGCAAAACATTTAAATTTCCAATGACTCCCACCATATTGCATCTGTAAGAGACTGGACGTATGTAGTAACATGTGTATCACCTGCCCAGAGATGGACAGGATACTACACTACATTCACCCTAAGAACGTTTCCCATTGTATGTGCCAGTACAAAAAAATGAATACAAAAGAGAAAAGCTCCAGGCTGGGCCCATAGGTCACACTAACTACTGGGCCTCTCTATACCACTGAGTTCTTGTCCCAGTTCAGGATCTACCCTCACCCACCAAAGTCCTTCCCCTCCCTTTGTAGACTTTTATTACTGTGTGTAGTGATGAAACATTGCTACAAGATCAACACAGCAGCCCCAGAAATGGCGGAGCACAGGCAGAATCCCTCACATGTTCCCAAGCAGCAACCTTCCCAGCAGCAACCAGCAGCAACCTGGGACTATCCCCAGAAGAGATTACTGCATCTGTTTTAGAGGTGAGAAGATTCCCCTGGTATTGAGCCAGCCCCTCACTTCCATATGGGCAACCTTCTGGGCATCTCTGCAGAAAGACCATCAAGGGCTACTACACTCATGTGAGAGAGTCACCCAGCTGCCTTGAACTGTTACAGAGTTCCTGGATCAGGATGCTATTCCACTTTGAAGAGCAAGGGTGGGCACAGCTGGAGAGATGAGTATGCACTGGTCTTGCAGAGGACCCTGGTTTGATTCCCAGACTTACATCAGTCAGCTCACAACCACTTATAACTCCAGCTTTAGCGTATCTGTCACCTCTGGCCTCTGGAGCCACCTGCACTCCCACACACCTTAAAAAAAATAAATGTTGTAAAACAGCAAAGGGCAGGGATCAGAGAGGGGCTTGGGGTACAAAAATCTACTGGAGTAGACGGACCTTTTCTTCTCCCCTCCCCCTGCAGAGTGGGATAGACAGGCCCTGGAGTGTGTGTATGCAGGAAGGGAAGGCCACTAGCCTCCTCCAGCTCCCCAGCTAGTAAAGGAGCTGGCTGGCAGGTGAGACAATAGCATTGAGCCATGAATACTCCTTTCCTCTCCCTCCACTTTCCCTCTGCTTCTCAAGGAGGGTGGGGTGGGGGAGGGGGGGGGGGTGGAGGGGACGGGACACACTTCAGAGTGTTGAGTTAATGAGTACCTCAGGGGATCATCAAACTTCCCAAGGAAACTTCTTTGTGTTTTGATTTGATTTAGGCCTGAACAGACACCAGATCTGAGGGAAGACAAGAAATTAGAAAGGGAACAGACTGACCAAAGAATTGGCCTCTCCCACTGTCCCGCTTAGGTGAGGGTTGGTGGACTAGGCTCCACTCCCTTGCTCCCAGCCTTAGGGAGAGAGGCAAAGAATGACTAATACAATAATTACAAATTTCCAGCAGGGGAGGCGGGGCTTAGAGGAGGAGGAGCTGTAGAGCCCAGAGATTGGACAGTCCGTACAGAAAGCGTGGGAGGAGAGGCGTGGTCACCCCTGGGACTTTAAAATAGAGCAATCACCAGCCTAGCTGGGTGCTTTGACAAAGTCATGATCTCCCATCCTGTGTCGGCCTCCAATCTGGATCGTTGGTTATGGTTGCTTCTGCTGATACTGGTGAGCCATCACGGGGCTCGGAACTGAGACCCCCCCCCCTCCTCCGCGCGCACCGTCCTGGCACCGGGTTTCTGGGCTGCAGGGGTAAGCTACGGCTGGCGGTGGACACCGCCGTCACGGGGCTCGGAACTGAGACCCCCGTCCTGGCACCGGGTTTCTGGGCTGCAGGGGTAAGCCACGGCTGGCGGTGGACACAGCAGTCACGGGGCTCGGAACTGAGACACCCGTCCTGGCACCGGGTTTCTGGGCTGCAGGGGTAGCTACGGCTGGCGGCCGCTGGCGGGCGGCCGCTGGCGGGTGGCCACTGGCGGCTGGGGATAGGCGGATAGGTCGCAGTGGGCGGCGCTCTGGCGGACAGGCACCGCCTAGCAGCACCTCAGGGCACAGCCTAGATATGCCGCACCGCCCTCTCATTGGAAAGCGTCTAAACGCACAAAAATTTCTTCTGATGCTTCCCTGGGGCATTTCTTTTCCTTCGGCGGGTAGGCGCGCACAGAAACAGATGTAGGCGCTCAGTGGCTCAGTCCTCTATTCCTTGGGTGGACAGCTAGGCTGGTACCGAGGTAAACTAGCTACTACAAAAATAGCTCTGCCTTGGCCGGGCGGTGGTGGCACACGCCTTTAATCCCAGCACTCGGGAGGCAGAGGCAGGTGGATCTCTGTGAGTTCGAGGCCAGCCTGGTCAACAGAGTGAGTTCTAGGACAGCCGTAGTCAAGGCTACACCAAGAAACCCTGCCAAGCAGGGAAAGATTTATGTTTTATAAACCCGATAGGATACAGCATTTGTGTGACACATTTAGATGCAACAACAGTAAAAAATAATCCTTATGTTGTCCTAAGATAGCATTTGAGCAGTCAGAGACCATTTACTTCAATTGGTGCTTTATAAAATCACCCGGGGCTGGAGAAGTACTTCATTGGTTAAGAGCACTTCGTCACTGGCTGTTTCTGGGTGGCTTCTCCTCTCATAAGTCCGCTTGGCAGGAACTTACACTCTGTCTGATCGTTCCTGGGATTTCCTCCACAGGCTGCCAGTGGACGTGCAATAATGGTGACTCAGAGGTGACTTACTATTAATAAGTTAACAGTAGTTTGAGAACAGCTACATCCTGTGTAGCTCTTAACCTGGCAAACTTCTCTGGCCCTCCAGGTTGGGGCTGCTGAGGCATCTCTGGAGACGTTTTGGTTCTGCATTTTGTAATTCCAGAAATCTCCAGAAGCAATCTAGACAATGTTGTAAAGGAAGTTGTAAAGAAAAAGATGATTGATTCAAATGCTGTCACATAAAGAAGGAACTTCAAAGAAAGATTGAAGATGAGCTGGGTGTAGTGTCGCATACCTTTAGCCCCAACCTGGGGAGACAGAGACAGGCAGATTTCTGTAAGTTTGAGGCCAACCTAGTCTATATAGGGAGTTCTAGAATAGCCAGAGCTGTGTAGTGAGAACATGTCTTGTAAAAATAAATATTGAAGATAACATCTCTTTAAAGAATACAAAAAACAGACTATCCTCAAAGAATATTGAAAATAAAGATTTATTTTTTATTATTTTTCGAGACCAGGTTTCGCAGGGCTGTCCTGGAAGTCTCTCTGTAGACCAGGCTGGCCTTGAACTCACAGGGATCTGCCAGCCTCTGTCTTCAGAGTGCTAGGATTAAAGGTGTGTGCCACCACTGCCCTGTCAAAAATAAAGATATTTTAGCAAATCCACAGTCTGACCTGTAGTCATTGTCCTTCCTAAAAGAAGGCACAGGTGAAGCAGGCAAGCATTCAGTACTTGCAAGGCAGGGGGAAAATAGTGAGCATTGCCTTCAGGGCATCGATGACAAGTTGTCATATTCGACAGATAGTGAGGGTGACACGGAGACAGAGACGAAGGCGCGCCAAGCTCGAAACTCCTGCCTGACTTAATGACAGAATTCCTGACAGAATGAAAGGGCCAAGACTATGGCAGGGTGTGTGTGGGGGGGGATCATGTTATATGATCCTAATCTCTGAACCAGGAAATCTTGCAGCCAAGGAATTTCTCTCACTTATTGAGGAAACCTTGCTGAAGGGGGGAGCTCAGAACCAGAGGAAGATAAGACTGTGGGGAGGATGCTAGCCATGAGACGGGAGCCTAGAGCAGTGGGGATGTGAGAGAGGACAGCTCCTACGAATGTGCAGATGGGTCCTAAGGGCTGCTGCTGCGGGGAATTTTCAGGAGTGTTCCGTGCGAACGCAAACCGGAACCAGAGGGCCTCGCTTGCTGACTTCTTTGGCACAGATATCAAGCGATCTGCATTCTTACTCTGGGTCCCTTACATTTAGGCTGTAGGTCAAGGCAGGTCACTTAGAGCAGGAAGTGGGGAGGAGAGAGAAGATGCTGGGGACATACCAACTGTTTTATGTGCATTATTTAATCTCACAACCCTAAGTAGTAAGGATGTTACCATCTTCGTTTTATGGAGGAGAAAAGTGAGCCGTGGCAAGGGTGAATAATTTTTCCAGTGTGTGTCACCTACTAATTTATAGGCTCTGAACTTGCCTGTGTTATAGCATGTCTCCACAGATATTGTCCTTCCAACAATCCCCTACCAATGACTACCACGTCAAGCCTTTTGCTTTGTTTTTCGAGGCAGGGTTTCTCTGTAGCTTTGGTGCCTGCCCTGGAACTAGCTCTTGTAGACCAGCCTGGCCTCGAACTCACAGAGATCCGTCTCCCAAGTTCTGGGATTAACACCGCCACCAAGTTTTGTTTTGTTTTGTTTTGTTTTGTTTTGTTTTAAGACAAGGTCTCTCTACATAGAGCCCTGACTATTCTGGAACTCGCAGAGACTAGCCTGTCCTCCAGAGAGCTGAGATTAAAGGTATATGCACCATGCCCAGCCAGCATATACTCTTGACTGCCATCTCGCTCCAGCCCAAGAAAAACATTTAAAACTTTTGGGTACTCGGAGAAATAATATGTGAAGGTGAATTAAAAAAAAAAGTGAGGCAGTAGTGATGCATGCACTCAATCCCAGTGGTCCGGAGGCAGAGGCAGGTGGATTCTGTGAGTTTGAGGCCACCCTGGTCTACATAGTGAGAACCAGGACAGCCAGGGGGACACATGGGGAGAAAAAAACAAACAAACAAACAAAACCCAAGCAGAGCCCTGACTCCTTTAACCCTTTGCAAGTTGTTCCAACTGGCGCCTCCATCTGCAGCCCCACCACAGGAAGCAGCCGTGAGAGCCTGATGTTTGGATGACAGGGACCTTGTAGGTCCCAAGTTGCAGTAGAACTCATGGCTGCCAGAAGAGAACTGGGGAATACGTCTGTGCAAGCAGCAGAGAGCCACCCAACCTTGCAGTGATCTGTTGTACAGCCTTCTCCAGGCAACTGCAGGCTCCAGCGTTCTACAGCACAGCTTCCCATAATCTCTGCCCCGTATGCTTTCCACAAGGGGGCTCCTTTTTTGGTATGTCCTTTTTCCACCATAATCTGACCACCCTCTGCAGTTACCAATAAACATAAGCTGTCCCTTATCTTTTTCCAGCTACTGAGAAGTGTTTGTTCAGACCTTCCCTCCAGACAGGATGAGAACCACTTTGACTGCAGGAGCAATGAGTACTTTTCTGGGGACCGCTGCTGCAAACTCTGTAGTCCAGGTGAGTTCTACAATGGGACCCAGTGCCGGAGCATAGACATCCATGGCCTTTGAAGCACACCAGAGGCTGTATAGGATGAGGAAGGTATGGACAGGGAGCTCAACTCAGCCACTGCCTACTCCCTCAAACTCTAGGAAGTGCCTCCTAACTCAGGTGCACAGACCCCCAAAGGAACCTCTTTGAGTGTTCAAGAGAGTTGGTGCCAATACTTCTACCAAGGCCTCACTAGTGGAAGGTCGCCCACCTACCCAGCTGAGAGGAAAGTTCAGAAAAAGGAGCTGGGAGGGTTAATAGCACCTACCTGTGCTTGCGACAGGTGCCAGAAGACCACTTGCCCTCACTCACTGGGATCTTGGCAGGACAGCTTACCAAGCTGTAGTTCATAAGGTCTTCAGGACTCATGGAGGCCCAAAATTTAGGACTTGATTTTTAATATTCTTCTCTATGATCTCTCACTTTCCCATCTCAATGTGGTTTGTTTCGAAAAGGAAACGATCGGAGGAATGACTCGGCAGTGAGAGCTGTTACTCTAACAGGAACCCAAGTTTGGTTCCCAGTACCTACATCAGGCATTTTCTCTTTGTTCTCTATGGGCACTTGCACATACTTGTGCGCTCTCTCTCTCTCTCTCTCTCTCACACACACACACACACACACACACACACACACACACACACTAAAAATCTTAAAAACAGCCGAAGCCATCAATTGCCGTAAATGAAAAATGATTGATGTCCAAATAGATACAAGAACCAAACGCCGAGACTCAGTGGGCCGTCTACCAGGCTGGAGTCACTTCAGGCCTAGTTGAAGGCCTGCCTGACCCTGCCGCAGTTCAGCAAGCGCATCTTTGACCCTGTCACGTCTCAGTCTCACTCCGCTCATGTCTCTTCTCCATGACGTGTCTGTCGCCCGGTCATGTCTGCAGCTGTCCTTCGGGGAACACATGAGAGGCCATGCTTGCTGGACTTGATCATTTTCCCCAAAATTAGTAGTTTAGACTTTCCTTTGTAATTCATAGGAAAGGAAATTCCCAGGGCCATCTGAACATTTCTAAATTGGCATCAGAGAGCCTGAACCCAGAGGTACAAAATGGTCCCAGGAGAACCTGCTAGGACTAAGAACTGTCCTGCCTTTAGGAAAGGCATAAGGAGTTGAGTGTGGTGGTTCACAGCTATAATCCTGACACTGAGAAACTGAGGCAATGGGCCTGCCATGAGTTCCAGATCAGCTGGGACTATTGAATGAGACTTTATCTCAAAAAAAAAAAAAAGTAGTAAGAAAGAAAAAAAGTAAGCATGGCAGCTCATGCCTATGATCCCAGCACTTGGAAGGCTAAGGCAGGAGGATTGCTATGAATTTCTGGCCAACTTGAGCTGTACCATGAAACCCTGACTTAGCACCACCACCACCAACAAAAAGAGGCCAGGGAAAGAAAGTTCTTGCTAAGTGACATGTTTATGAGGCAGTTAATGGAAGTGACCTGACTTCACCCAGGTCTCAAATGCTTCTCAGAAACCTGGGACTGCCCACTCAAAGGGGAGAACCTGGGATTTGAAGGGCAGGAGTCGGTTACTTGTGGTTTAGAAGCTGAGCCCTGCAGGGAGCCCAAGGAGCCCATTCTACTCACCACTGGTCGGTTCCTAGACCCTGGAGGTCAGGTATCCATAGGAATGGGTGCAGCTCAGGAAGCCACCAGCCGTTACAGATCCTCAAGCAGTTTGTGACAGCCCAGAGATTATTTAGAACTTGTGTTAAAGACTTAAGGCCACCTGGAGCAACATAGACCTTAGCCCTGTGTGCCTAGAGCAAGACTGATCCCTGTCTGCTCTTATCCACAGGTGAGTTTGTCCAGAAGTCCTGCACGGCCTCTCACACCCAAGGAAAATGTGAGAAGTGTCACCCTGGGTCATACACAGACGCTGCTAATGGCCTCGACTCTTGTAGACCTTGCTCCAGCTGTGATAAAAGTAAGTATGTGACTGAGCAGAGACTGGACTAGGAATGACATTTACTGTCCAGCCGTGAGAACTGCAACAGAGTCAGAAACACACTTGTCCAGCACTGCACGGAGTAGCCATGACTGATGGGTGCCAGGATGCAGCCGGGGAGTCCCACTAAAATTTGTTTCTCTTAAGTTTTGTTTTCTTTTTGTGGGCATGGTTGCACAACATTTAATCCCAGCACATAAGAGGCAGAAGCAGCTGATCTCTGAGTTCAAGGCCAGCCTGTTTACATAGTGAATGCCAGGGCAGCAACCGCTACACAGTGAGACCCTGTCTCAAAACCAAACCCAAGCAAAAATGATCCCTTATGAATGAGAGGGACTCAGTAAGAATGTCAGAAAAATCACAGCCACGAAGACAGCCTTCTGCCATGGTTTAGGTATTTCTCTCCTAATTGTCAATTGAATGCAGAACCTAGTAAAAACACATGCAGGTAATGAGAAAAGTCCCCCCTCCAAGGATAGGCAACCATGTGTGCAAGTTCCCAAACACATAGAGGAGCTTAAAGGGCAGAGCAGTGGGTGTGGGTCTGGAGGCAGCTCAGAGAAGAGGCACACGCCTGCGTGAGTCAACTAAGAGGATACGGAAAGGTATGTAACAAAATTAGTTTTCCAAAATCTTTAAACAGGCTGGGCATGGTGGCATGTTGCTGCTTGTTTTGCTTTTTTTTACTCTTTTGGCTTTTTGGTCTGCAACCCAGCTCCCAAAAAATCATACATGTTATCTTATTCTTTCTTATAAATGCCCAGCCTTGGCTTGGCTTGTTTCTAGCCAGCTTCTCTTAAACTATCCCATCAATTTTTGCCTCTAGGCTTTTTCCTTTACTTCTGTACATCTTACTTGCACTTCGTGACTGGCTGGGTGGCCGGCCCCTTCTTTTCTTGCTCCTGGATCTCTCTTGCTACTTCTTCTTCCTCCCAGGGTTCTCCTTCTATTTATTCTTTCTATCTATCAGCCCTGCCTATCTTTTCTCCTGCCTTGCTACTGGCCATTCAGCTCATTAGACCATCAGGTGTTTTAGGCATGCACAATAATACAGCTTCACAGAGTTAAACAAATGCAGCATAAAGGAATGCAATACATCTTTGCATCATTAAAACAAGTGTTTCATGGCATAAACAAATGTAACCCATCTTAAAATAATATTCCACAACAGTGGTATATGCTTTTAATCCAGGCATGCTGGAGGCAGATCTCTGTGAGCTCAAGGCAAGCCTGGCCTGTATAGTGAGTTTAAAGACAGCCAGAGCTACACAGTGAAACTCTGTCTCAAAATGAAACAAAACAAACAAACTTGAAGTAATTGCTGGGGCAGTGGATGCAGCTCAGTGAGTGAGTGCTTGCCTAGTATGCAAAAGGCCTGGGTTTGTTCCTGGCATTACGGAAAAAAATTTCTGTTTTGTGTGTACATGCATGTGTGTATGTATACACACTTCTGTGATACTGAATCATGTTAAACTAAATGACAAATCCCACAATATCCCATGCCTCAGCACTGTCATAGGCATCTCCAAAGCATAAAGATGGAAGCAGGCTGGGTATGGTGGCACACATCTCTGCTTCCTGACTTAGGAGGCAGAAATAGGATAGATAGATAGGTAGGTAGATAGATAGATAGATAGATAGATAGATAGATAGATAGATAGATAGATAGATAGAT